AATTTAAAAAACAACTATTTTTATATTATTAATTAATAATTTTGATCTACAGAATTTGATTATTTTTACATTTTTTAAATAAATTTTAAATGATCTTGCAAAAAACTTGTTTAGTTTGTCATATTCCTTTTTTTTTAAATCTACTTTGCAATTTTATTATGAAGAAACAATCATTAATTTATTCCTATTTCAACAAATACAGATATGCCACACGTCTAGTTGACTATCTTTTTGTTTCGCTATTAAATATTAAAGTAGTGCTATTAAACGGTTTGATATGCCAATTTTTTAAAACGGCGAACTCAATATTTTAGGCAGAAAAATGTTGCTTAAATCTCGAGATTTTGCTAATAGATGTCCAAACCATGGTGCCATCTATGACGAAAAATATTAGACATACGTAATATTTTTCTGGATAATTGAGTTAGCTGTTTTTAGAAATAGACTAAATTCGAGTCGTTTAACAACACCAAAGTATCAATGCCACAACCAAATCAAATCTCGTATTTTAAAATAATGAAAGGATTTTTATAATGATAATAATAGTAAAACCTATTTTAGATATTTCGTTTATTTAGTTTTTTTTAATTGCTTATCTTGTTTAATTACATTAAATTACTTCTATATTTATTAAACAAACTGAAAAGAAAAAATAACATCTATAAAGATCATACAATCATAAGATTCAAGATATCTTGAATCGGGGAAAATAATGTATATAGACCAAATTGATTTTTGATAATTTAAAATTTGTTATTATTTAAGATCTTAAGACTGCTGTATTTTTTTATTTCGCTTATAGCTGGTTTTTATTTATTGGCTGAAAAAACTGATCGATAAACTAGTAAGTAGTACTAATCATGCATTACATATTGTTGATTGCTTCTATAATTTTTCATTTAGCATGATACCAATTTTGGCAATTTTTTATATTTAGTCAATAATATTTTTCTTTAAACTACCGGGTTGAAGCAATAAAGAAGCATGAAATACACACTAATTAGAAATAAATTTCCGATGTATTGCTTCCAGATGTTTGGCTAAAACTTTAAGCTTAAAACATGATATCATAATTAGTTTTTGATTTATAGTTAGGTTACCTATTTAATGATTAAAGAACTAATAGGGCACTAAATATTAACAAGCAGATAGTTAGAACTTCTATATTCTCCGTTCTGGCATGTTGTTAATTTTGTCAATAAGCAATAAAATATACTAATAAGGCCCTAATTAATGGTTTAATATAGGTTTCAGAATTAGTGTTTCCAAAAGCTTGACTCACTTAACCCTTAGCGTGATGTCATAGTATTCATTTTGTTTATAACTCTGTTTCTTTTCGTGGTTCTCATAATAGAGTTAGGAATTGAAAGTACTAGTCAAGCATTTAGCGCACGTTAGATATATAGTTTTTATATTTTCCATTTTAGCACAATCTATTTTGAGAATTTTCTCTTTCTTAATACTGTCTACCAAACGGATTAAATTAATATACAATTATGATTCAAACAATATAAAATTTACTGAATATATGCTTTCAGACACTTTTTAATCGTAATGTTGGCCAAAATCTTTTTACTAATAATTTTCCCTTTATACTGGCTACTATACTAGTTAAAGGCTGCCACTAATAAAGAAAAAAATATTTAAACCAGAAAAATATTGTCTACGCCGTTTAGATTGCGCTAATAGATTGTATGATCAAAATCTTTAGTTTTGATCATTTTTAAAAATCGGCTCGAATCGAGCCGTTTAGCAACACTAATTGTGATATTATTAGGTCATCCTATACATAAAAATGAAGCAAATCCGAATATATAAAATACATAAAATTTGTGCTTATTTTCTAAATAATTTATGTTCATTATTGAATAAATCCCATTTTTTTTTAATATATTATTAATATTTTTGATAAGAAATTCTTTGGGGTAATTTAACGATTTTTTTAATGTTATGAGGCTATATGTTGTTAAATATTATTTAGGATGCATGTATATTATAATTAGTTATAATATAAGTTACAAATCTATGCATATAAACCCGAGCGAAGTCCGGTCAATAGCGATCTGAAAGCCATTAACCGAGTTTTAAAAAAATGATAGGCATCTTTTTTAAAATAAATTAGCATTCTTTAGCACCTCCTTTTGTAAAAAGCTAGCAACGCCTCTGAAATTTTATATCATTATTACTTTCTAAGTATATAAACATTTTTCTAATTTTAAATATTTAAGATAAAGGTAAATTGCTTAAATGATAAATCAAATTAAACAGCTGACAATTTTAATTAGGAAATTTGATTAAATAAATTTCTTTAGCAATTAACTGATTTTAACATTATATGAATATAAAAGGGACTTTAAACTTTCACATTTATCAAATTCTCAATACACCACTTGCATTTACATGATCATATATAACATTTTTTCAAGTAATAATTTCAAAATGCCGCATTTTTTTTCGCAGTTAAGAATATTACAATTTGCAAAGGTTCATATTGTATAATATATGTTGATATGGAATCCATTAGGATTCGGAGTTTCTCAACTTTGAATCCTTTACTTTGGAAAATTTTTAAATTTGAAACATTTGATTTGCTCCAAATGTTTTCCAGCATGTATAGAGTACCCACATTGGCTTACGCAGCGGGGTGGGGGGGGGGCAGGGGGGCAAATCCCCCCCCCCCCCCCAAAGCCAAAAAATGCAGATGCCGGATATATTTTTCAAAAAAATTATTGTTTATAATAATTTATATTTGTTAATATTTATTCGTATCTCATATTAAATATATATTATATTACATTTATTATCACATTCATAAGTTATTTTATCAATTAATTTCGATTTCAAGTTTTCCGGCGTAATATTTACTTATTATTTTCAAATTTTTAGTGGCGTAATATTTATCTACCATTTTCAAATTTCTAGTCAAATAATAATTATTTCTGAAACTTCTGGTCCAACAGGGAAAAAGAAATTGCAACCTTGTCCAACGAGATAGAGCCTCTTCCATCAAGCACTAACAGCTATTAAGGAGTTAGAAGAGCCAATTATTTCCTATTACTGAAATATTACAATGGCCTGAAAGAAATATTTCCTCAGAAGCAAGAAAATTATTGGATTCAATGCTTATTCCAAATTTTATTTCTCATTAGAATGTATTATTTAATTATATAACTATTTTAAGTATTACTTTTCAAAAACATGACAATGATTTGATTAAGAAGATCAGAATAGCGGAGAGCATTTTATCAGAACTCAAGGAAATTAGGGCTAATGTTGATGAAGAATTTCATATTTTATATTTTATTGTTGAGTCAAAGGCAGAGCTATACGTGTTTGATATTTATATCCCTCGACAGCAAGGCAAGCTCATCGTTAAAACATTAATATAGGATCAGTAGAAGAGTTTATCTTAGATGCAGATACATTTATAACCCAAATAAATGAATTTTTAATATATCATGCAGCACTTACATCTGCAAATATTACTTCCACAAAAGCCTTCCCAACCTTTTTCAGATGGTGATAGAAAAATAAAATATTTGTTAGATTTTTATTATGAAGATGTTAAAGTATCTTATGATGCCTTACTAGCTAAATAACTATGTTTATAAGATTAACTATAGTTGATATAGTCCCAAAAAATGCTATGGATGCTCTGCATTATTTCAAACACATTTTAGATTAAATTCCCAATGTATTGAAAGGGTTTATAAACTTTTCCCATTAGTAAACTAATGAGAGAACACTCTCTTTTTTTAAGAAGAATAACAGAGGCCTGCAGAAGTACCATTTGCAGGGCACGGCCCGGATTTTTTTTAAAGATTTTTTACGCTATTTTTAAAAAATTTTTTAGGCCGCTCGGCTTTTTTTTAAAATTTACAGGCTCGGCCCGGCTTTTTTTAAAATAAAATTTTCAGGCCCGGCCTGGATTTTTTAAAAATAAATTATATTTAATTTTGATTTTTATAGCTAATAATAACGATTTCAAATATAGGCTGTTTTAAAAAATAAAGCCCGGCTTGTTAAAAAAATTTAGGTCCGGCCTTGGTATAATTTAAAAAAAAATTAAAATATTGTCCGGCCCAGGAGCCGGGCCTGCAGGTCTCTGAAAAACATACCAAGAAGTACAACATGTGAAAGTAGATTGAAAGGTTTGGATTTTTTGAATATTCATAGGCATTTGACGACAAGCAAGGATGAGATAATTGAAAAATTAGCTCAATTCCAACGAAGATTGGATTTTACATTTTAAATATATAACATACAAAATACAATTATTCCTAAGAAACTTTTTGTGTAAAGGCTCAAAAAATGGGTCATTTAAGTGATTCTTTACATATAATTTTTTTATAATTCACATTAATTTAAAATTGTGTATTAGGAATAGTTATTAGTCCTAATAAATTTATGCTTGATATTTTTAAAAAACAATAATATTTCTCAAAAAAATTTATTATCCCCCCCCCCCCCAGACCAAATTCCTGCGTACGCGCCTGAGTACCCATATTGTGATTTTCAGGAAATTTGTAACGTAAACCTTTGAATTATTTTTATATATCAATTATTATAAATTTTTATACAAATTTTTAAAAAAAGAGAAAGGATTACGGGCTAGACACTCTACATATGCTTAAATCCGGATAGATTAAATTTTTCAAATTTAGGAGTCGCCCTCAGTAAATGATTTATAGGAAATCATAATTCCTATGAATTTCATATCCAGTTGTGACATATTGTATAATTTTCTGTTAACATGAGAAAATTGGGGCTTTCAGGCCTTCGAAAATACCTTCTGCTCAAATATAACAATAATTTAACGGGTGTTAATATAAGCTAGCCTAACAACACTTTCCTTCTCAATTGGATGGGAGCATCTGCATAAAATTAGTAAATTTAATTCTTAAAAAGTTTCTATAAAAGCAAACTGGTAGATTTTAAATAAATTGATTAAATATTTAAATATAATTATACTTCTTTTTAAAAAAAATATCTTTTTAAAGATTGCAAGTTTTAGAATTAAACAAATGCGGGATCAAAAAAATTGAAAAAGGTGCGTTTGATGGTTTGTACCAGTTGCAAAGCTTAAAAATTCATTCTAATCTACTAACCGTATTAACACCTGATGTATTTGATCCTCTGATACAATTGATCTACTTAGATGCCTCATCCAATCCTTGGATATGCGATTGTAGAATGAGAGAATTTAAAATTTGGAGCTCTTTGCATAAAAATCGAGCCTTTTCCATGAATAACGAAAATCACAACGTAAAAAAGCATTTCGATGGAGATATAAACCTTTTAAAGCCTATCACATCTTTGAAAAATACCAAATGTTGCGTTTACCCCCCACAACTGCATAATACCACGTGGGAATCATTACACCCTTATGACTTCAAGTGTGGACCATATATTTTAAACGAATGGAAAGGTGACATAAAAAATTTTCATAAAAAGGCATCTTTGATATGGAAAGTACTGAATGATTATAACCAGCAAGATGACAAAATTAATGGCATTTTAAGATCACTAAAAGATCCTTTAACTTCTATAACAAATGATTCAAGGGAAGAATTCTTGAAAGGCCCACCTCAAAGGTTTGAGTATCCAGTTAAAAGTTCAAATATTTGCTCTAAAAACTCTCCAAATTATTACAACGAGGTCCATTTAAAATGCCTGTTCATAGGCGATCCTATACCCATAATAACATGGACGTTCGTACGTAATTCAAAATTGATAAAAATTAGAAACTCCATTCTTCCAGATGCTAATTCTAAATTTAATATAAATAATACTGTGCGTATAATAGAACCATTATTCGACATTGTGGAGAATAACCAAAATACCTATCACTACAAAAACGTCGAGAAGATCGATACCTCCTATTTTTCTAACCATATTTTTCCTTCAAAAATTAGATCCTCCCTTTTAAACATTTCGTCAAATAATTTCAAAAACAGTGATTACGTATTATTGAAACATCCGGAATCTGATATTCATAACATGGAGAGTTTTGCCAAAAACAATTCTAAAATTTTGGAAGTGGAGAAACTGCTATCCTCCTATGCCAATTTACACCACGTTATTATCAGTCAACTAACTATATCTTGCTACGATCCGCAAACAGATAATGGCATCTACACTTGTTCTCCTAATGCGCACGCACTATCAAATGATAGCTCAATTCATGATAAGTATTATTATAGATCCATAAAAAGATACGTCCTATATAGAAATGGGACTATCACGGAATATAAGGGATCGGAGATGTTCGCCAATGGTTATCCGGTTAATTACTCTGTATTGTTATTATCATCACCCAACTATAATGTTGATCTCACAAATATTCGGGTTTTCACTAAAAGTGTTAAAAATATCAAGATACCTCGAGAAGAAGATGATAGAAAATACGTGAGTAATGTCCAGAAAACTTTAACTTATTTACCCGAAAAAGCAACGGAAACAAATAAACTCACATCGTTGGTGTCAATTTACTTACTTATCATCATAGGTATTTGCTGTGTATCTCTTGTCCTGTTGTCTGTATTAATTTGTTGTTTGAAATATCACAAGCGCTATTGGAAATGTATTAGTAATGATAAGCATCGTGCCAAAAAGGGTATCAAATCGGTAAAAATTGATAAAGGAAAGAGTAAGCAAACATATGATTCGTCGATTGTTGCCAACAACCATACACTTAACACATTAAACTCTTATCATAATCGCGATACTCTAGATCGTTCAGCTAAATCACATGGTGTTGTAAAAATGCCAAAACTAGCTTCGATAAACAAAAATTATCAAAATGGCAATTTGGCCAACACAAATAGTAACGGCTCCGTAAAATACTCTTTGAATAACAAAAATAACATCTCAAAGTGTGATTTGAGCCAAATCGATGTTATTAAAAACCATAATATTTTCGATAAATTTATAAAAGGTAAACACATTTTTTTCAGTAAGGTGGGTCTTAAACACGTGATAGTCAACTCCTTTATAAAAGCATCAAGAGAAAAATCTTATCCCACCGATAAAATTCCTAATCTTAGATATATCAATCATTCTATAAAGGAATCTGCGATGAATGAGAAAAAATATTGCAACGGACACATCAATAATATAAGTAATGGTCAAATCGAACATTTAGATGGCAAATTATGTAAAAGCGATTATGAATCTGTGAGGCAAGTAGAAGATTTGGAAAAATTAAATCATCACGAAACATGTTGTGCTAATGACGGGAGTAGTGTTATTTCATCGACATCCCCGTTACATGATCCCGTAACTGTCAACTCTCAATATCACTTAAAGTATAATAAAAATAATTTAAATCGAGTTGGAATGAATTATTGTAATAGGGAAACATTTGGAGATCAATACTTATGGGCTAGGAAAGAAGCACAAACACATCAAGAAATACCAAAATTTAATTATATAACTAAGAATGATCATGACCGAATAAAACCACCCTTTTATATGAAATCTTCATCTTCTTTTGCCACCACACATATGACAAATTTAGAGGAAGACTATTTATCTCATGGTTCACCTATCAATATTACGCAAAGATCAACTAATATGATAAATGATAGTAGCCACGAAAATATGTTCAACATCGAAACTAATCGTAACGTATACATAAATTCTGATAATTCAACAACAGAGCCTCGTCATCAGGCAACAAACACACCCTCATCTTACGCATTTGAAGATTTTAATTATAATAGTGATTCAGGCTTTAATAAATACAATAATAATTATTTATCAACATCTCCTCTTGAAGTTTATAGTTACGGTAATGCGAATATCGAGGATATTAAAAATGAAGGTAATCAAACTATATTCAACGACGTATATCGGCAATATTCTACTAGAAACAAATATGTACCTGTATCCCCTAAAATTATTTTACCTGATAAAACTACTATTGTTTAAAATCTTGAAAACGAATATAATATAAATCAATAGAAAATTATTATGTGTTCTTCTATACATTCACAATCATTTTGTAAATGACTATATGATTATTAATCCCGCGAATAACACGATAAAACCTATATGCGAATTTACATCAAAAAAAAGACATGCATGTCATTTAAAAAGAAATACTATAAATATAAAAAATTATAATCCTTTTAAATAACAATTTAATTATTTATTTAAAAATATTAAATAAATTGACATTGATTTAAATACAATTCACACTTTAACCATAATCTTATTTACGAATAAATAAAAGGCTTATTTTGGTGAATTAAAGGATTATCAGATTAATGGATCTTAAAAGGATTAAAATTAATATAGAATTAAGTTATGGTTCTTATATAATCTCTTAAAGAAAAAAATGGAATGCTCAGTAATTAAATTGATTAAATTCTTAGAAAATGTTAATGTATTCAAAAAAATACTTAGGCTGTCCTGGTTGCCAAACAGCGGGCTGTTTAACCGGCTATATAGTTCAGATTAAACTAAAAAGTAAAAGTGCCACCAAACATTTAAACAAACAAAAAAAGGAGTATCATAGATCAAAAGCTGCATAGCTTAGGCTAAACAGCAATAAGTATTAAAAATAAGTCGAGCCAGGAGACAACATTAATGCTTACAAAAATTTATTATTCATTATATAAAAAATTATTGATAAAATAAATAAGGAACTGCACGAAATTATCCGTTGCTACTTTTCAGAGGGCTCTTTAAAGTATTCAGGTGGACCTGAGCTCATAAGAGGCTCTCCACTCTATATCACTACTGGAAATTATAAAATTAATGTTTAGAATACATATTAAAAATGGACCAGTAATCAAAAAAAATTATGCTCATCTGAAATGCTTAAATTTAAATGAATGTTTATTTAAATTTAGACCTTAATGTAACTTTAATAAAAAGTATGCATGCAATCTATATTTGTACAATATACAAAATGGTTAGACATTTTTTTTAATTAACCTTTTTCCATAGAGGAGGGTGGGTTTCATCTTATAAACATAAATTTTTATTATGGCATAAAGGCATCTTTGTATAATTAAATCATTTCGTTAAGAAAATAGTCATTTTCCACTCCGTCTCATATCCCTATCATCTTTTAGCATCTAGATTGATAAATACATGCGCGAAAGCATCGGGGACTGATTCCTACCTTATATATTACCTTCATAGCAGAAATAAATAGGCTACTAATTTATTCTATGAATTAATATCTTCAAATTTTTCTTAGCATTATATTTATCTACCATTATAAAATTTCCTACCAAATTATTTGAAACCTTTTCACTGCAAAACTAACGTAAAATATTTGAAAAAAATGACATCAATTTAAATTGAAACTATGAAAATATAGTTGAAGGCATTATATTGAAACTTAAGGAAATTAGAGAAAAGTATATGGCGAATTTCATAAAATATATGTCATTGTTAAGTCAAAAGCAGAGTTCTATGAATTTAATATCTGTCTACCTCGACTAGCAACAAGATTCCCACCGTTCTAATATAATTCAGGGTCAGTTGAAGAATATTATAAAATAAATCTTGTTATTTACCTCTTGGATACTTATTAACTCAAATAATGAAAGTTCTTATTAATCAAGCAGCACTTACAAATCTGCAAATATTATTACCCCGCTAGAAAAAAAATTCCTACACCTCGAGATTTTGAAAAATGGAGGATTGAGTTGGTGTTAGCTCTTCTTAATATACACAGGGAATTGATACAAAACACTGATGAAATTAAAAATCCAACCAAAGAAGATTGAATTTATAAATTTATAATATGCTTCTTAATTATATTTTTTCCCATTTTTTTAAAATACCATATTTATTTTCATGACTTTGTAAGTTAATATATGTTAGCATCAATATGTTTTTTCCGGAAATGTGTTATTTTTCAACATTAAACCCTTTTTGAGTGCGTTTTTGAAAAAAAATAATTACCTCTCCACCCCTACCATAGCGAATGCTTTCAGATGCGCCTGGATGAATAGCTGAATGATATCTGGTTTCATATCAACCGACCATTTATTAGATATGCAAATAATACATGGATAGTGAGTATCTCCCCACAAATATATTATCTCCCCACCGCAGATTTGATGCAATTTTTTAATTCAGATAATACTAGATAAATGAGACCTTTCCCATTACTTTGACAATTTATCGGATGAACAATTGAAATGTGTCATGGTTTACTATTAATATCTTGCAATTCGGTTATTTGAATCTCCTTCTATACATAATCTCTAAATAATTAATAATAAATATTAATCACTTAAAATTATTTATAATAATATTATGTTCACTCTCATCTAATATTTATAAATTTTATCATGTATAGAAGAATTTAAATTACAAGCAATCACCTAATATTAACAACAAATTTGAATGCTAAATTAAGGTCTTTGACCTTTTGTCTCGTAATTGTTATGACAAACATAATAAACATAGCCCTCATGGGCCATTTGTATCTAAGTGCCCAGGCTCACACACAATCTAATAATAATATTGGTAATAACGATAATTATACATCAAATATTTTAATAATTTCATAATTTTGCTGATCACAAGGACTCAAGTATATTCCTTGCTCAAGATTTCCCAGCCGAATATAAGAGGCGCTCGATCAGCAGTTCAAACCTTATTCATATAAATATTATCAAATCTATATTAAATGACAAAAATAATATTACATCTTGAGAAAAATTGTTTAACTTTCCATTTAATATACTAAAAGTAACAAATGATAAAGATTGTCCACTGTCAAGGGTCATTAAGGGCAATATTAGCATATTCTTAAATAATAAATCTAACTTTCAAACACTCAACTTGGCAAAACTCATTCCAATGAAAATAAATAATTTTAATTATAAGCTCTATTTTGTTCTTTCAGTAAGCAACTATTTAGTAGCTCCTGACTCTAATAAATGTACAAAGAATTTAATGATAAGCACCCTAAAAATATAAATATTTATCAGTTTTTATCCATGAAGATCTCGATAGTATTTACTACGGTAGAGGTTTCAAAGGCAATCAATTTTTCTCTGATGGACACTGCTAGATAGATGGCACCTGGCCCATATCTTTTCAAGATCTAGTAAATATAGATAATGTCCTCATATCTGATATTACTAATTATAAGAACTTGGCAACTCCATATTCATTAAAGAATTACCACATAATATAATCCCTCAGTGCACGATTTAGCCTTTCAATCAAATCAGGCATTCCTCTTATCACTAAAAGGGGCTTGTTCAGAAGGATTATATCTAAATATTTGCTAACGAATAAGATTCCTTATCATATATTTTGACATCCAACTAATTAGAATTTGGGATTAAAGGATGATGCGAAACTGCAAGTCATGCATCTAGAATTTCTCATTCCAAAGAATCGGATCTGCCTTCAAATCATTTATTTATCAGGCTAATAAATGCCTTCAATTCATTTATTTATCAAGTTAATAAATGCCTTCAATTCATTAAATCATATGTTATAATTTATTTTCCAAAAATATCCAGAATTCTTTAAATTACAAGTTAGTATGAAACACCATCAATACTACCTTATAAATATTTTGTTAGGACTTCAGCAGGAGATTCTATAGGTCTACCCTTATTCTGTTAATCAATAAATAAAATAATTCACAGATATTAAGATTAATCGTCACCTTTACCTAAACATGTTGTATTTGGATGATGTTACATTCTCAGGCTCTATAAACGAAATAAATAAAGTCCTCGACATTATCATTTAACTTTCAACAGCATAACCTATCATTAAATAATAAAAAATATGAAATTTATTTAAGAACAAAATATTCTACAACCGTTCTATTTACTCCTATGACCAAAGACGAAATTTGTGTCATCGGGTCATCAATAGGTGGAGAACTAACGTTCAAACATTTCAAAAAAAAATCTACATTATCTAGCATCAAAGCAAAATCTTGCCTTCACATCAGGCTTATTATATGATTGAAAACTTTATATGTTCCCTAAAATTCTTTACTGCTTCAGATAATCAGGATCATATAGAATAATTAGTAATTTATAATGAGATCTGGGGATATTTTAATCTAAAATTTTGTGATAAAACATAATTAAAAATTACTCTTTCCTTTCCACAGAATCTTAAGGAATTGGGCTAAGCTCTCCTATATCACTATCAATTGTATCAATCATACTATCTATCAATAACCAAGAACTCATTCTGAATCAAATTAAACTAACCTAAGATTTGTTACTTTTTATCTATCTCCAGGGGGAATAAATCATCAAACAATCAGTTCACAATATATTGCGGCCTTCATATCGCGTTCAATTAGCTATTTGCTTCTTACGAGAAAGGACACAGAGCTGCTTGAAAATCTTTATCCATTGGTTATTGACAAGACTGATTATGAATAACTAGAAGTCTATCCAAGCTAAACAATAAGATCCCTTCTGAAAACACCGAATTTAGATACGTGATGGTAATCAGGGTAGGGATAAATATCTCAACTATATAAATGTCAAGAGGTAGGGCGGATCAAAAGCAAGGCATCCTATCCACCAAATATATAAAGCATGAAATAATTAATAAAATAATTCAGAAGGCACACGATTTTATACTCCAACACAGCTCGAACCGCATGTTTCTTTAATCATAAACAACACTCGACTGAAGGGATGTAAACCTAATCCATAGGACAGAGCAGGCAAACATATAATTGAGATTCCAGTATCAATATTTCTGACTCCTTTCATTATTGCAATTACGATCCATTTAGAAGAAAAAGAAGAGTCTAAAATATTTGCATATTTCTGTTTATAATATATTCATCTCATTTGTAGTATCAACTTCCTGTTCTTTGCATATGACTTAGATCTATTTCCAAACTTATAAGCAAATTGTGGGAATCCGGTTTAATTTTAAATTATTTAAAGATTCATAGCCGATACCTTATT